CCCTCTTTATGGACGACGTCTTACGTGGGATGGACGGAGGCTTGCAGGTTGACGTGATCTATACGGACTTCGAAAAAGCATTCGACCGTGTGGATCATGTCATCCTGCTTCAAAAACTACAAGCACTCGGGATTTGCGGTGATTTATTAAGATGGTTCCAAGCATATATTTTTAATCGCAGCCAAGCTGTGATCATAGGTGGGTACAGATCTGATTATATAAACGTCCCTTCAGGTGTCCCGCAGGGATCTCTGCTTGGTCCTCTCCTGTATATAGCTTACCTGTATGATATAGGAACATGTTTACAACACGCTAAATTTCTTTTGTATGCAGACGACAAGAAAATATATATGAATATAAACTCAGAAAAGGATTGTCAGCTCCTCCAGGAAGATTTAAACAGGCTAGCTCTTTACTACAAAGATAACCGCATAACAGCTAATATCGACAAATGTATATCAATCTCGTTTACCCGTAAAATAAAACCTACACAATATTTTTACCACATTGACAGCTATCTCATATCAAAAACAAACAGCGTTAAAGACTTGGGAGTGACCTTAGACAGCAAACTAACCTTTTCAGAACACATTACATTAATAACCACGAAAGCCTACAAAAATCTTGGATTCATCATGCGTATCACCAAACCTTTTAACGATTTAAGTTGCATTAAAGCACTTTATTTTGCATATGTTCGCAGCGTGTTGGAGTATTGCTCTACTAGTTGGAATCCCCAATATAAAAAATATATCTCAGCCGTAGAGGGTATACAGAGTAGATTCCTGCGACACCTCAATTACCGTGGCAGGCGCAAGAGCGAAGACTATCATAGCTCTTGTCTGCATCACAAATTATTAACATTACAAGATCGTAGATGTAAAGCTGACATGATGCTGCTATACGAGGTTTGTACTGGCGCCCTTGACTGCCCACAATTGACCCAGCAGCTTATGAGTTTTTGTACCCCAAAGAAACGTACTAGAGTTACGGAATTATTTTATGTACCATCAACTTACACAAACTATGCAAAGAACTCCGTTTCAAATAGGATACTAAGAACATATAATAAATACTTCTCTAGCATTGACCCTTTTTGCATGACCAAGACGAAATTCAAAAAAGCTGTCTCTAAGATCTTGGCAGATGGTTTGACTAATAATTTAAATTAATTTGCTTACTAGGTTGAAGTTGCGACACACATACACATACAAATTATTATATCACAAACACACACACACACACACACACACACACACACACACACCCACACACACCCACACCCACGCGAGTACACACACACACACACACACAAAACTAGCGCTTAAAATATATTAAATATTTTTTTTTTATTTCTTATTTATATTTCTGTACTTGTTTAAATAACTAAATTATTATTATAATATAGAAATTGACCTTTTTTGCTATACGCTGTATACTATTTGTTAACATTGCTGAAGACAAAAAAAAAATTTAAATTCATGCAAAAAAAATGTAAATCTATAAAGGCTTCTATATAACATAAAATGTTCTCTTGTTTATATATTGTTAAATGTACAAGCTGTAGATTTTGTTACAATAAAAAAAAAAAATTTTAATGCCCCTTCGTGGCCGAGCGCTGGGGGGCTCTGGGAAAGGGCTGTTCAGAGCCTCTAATCCCACCTAAGGCGAGTCGTAGTAGAACAGCGGCTTAGGTTTGAAGAATACTCTATCTCCGGCGCACTTCCTTACTGGATGAGCAGGATTAACCATCATTCAAACTACCGAAGACGCTAGAAACAGATGGTGTCTAACAGTGAGACCCAAAAAATAACAACCCGCAACTCTTGAGTAATGATTTTAAAGGGGATATCATACAAGACTTACTACGATAATAATTAAAAATTGAAAATTTTGTACAACCGACTTCAATATAAATAATTAAGGATAACTCAAAAACTATTGTTCCCACGTCGCGCGACCTTCGTACCACTCACTCATAAATCGCTGTGCCCAAGTTCGAGGCCAGCGTTCTTTTTTCAGCATTTGCGCGTACATTGACATCTAGTCAGCTGATATCAATTCAGTAATTTCACTGCTAGTTTTATGTTTCAGTATTTTCATGATTTTTTTTATGAAATTATCGTTTCATTTAGCTGTACTAACATGATAGAGAATGAATAAAGCTAATAAAACTTGTGAAAAGATGATTTTTCTTTCATCAGGATCGATTTTATATTCCACCCGTCATTAAAGGTATAGTTTGTAACGTCTTCTGTCTTCGTTTTCGGGAGCGTTCCAAAAATACCCTGTATTGGTTACATCATTATAAATAATTTTAGCGCGATCACTCTTTACAGAATATAATACATTTACGAAAAAACTATTTTTAAGTTTTTGTTGTCATGTCTGATTCCTTTTAAGTCTGTATTTTGTAGTACCTAAACAATGTCAGAATAAATCGTCAAAGAAAATGCCTTAATTATTTTACACTTGATATCAGTATCACACATTATGTTGAAATCATTAAACATAATTAAATAAGCAAATGACATTCAAAAAAATTAGAAATATTAAAATTTATTATAAGTAAGTATGACCGCCGGGCCGGTCGACGCCCGCGCTCAGCAGATTCCGTTGCGAGTGCCTACTAAACCATTCATCACTGTTCCCATTGCACCAGGGCACCAATTTAAATGACTTTACATTAACTTTTCATATACTTCTTTATTTTGCATAAAACCATTTGATGAACTGTTTGATTCTTTTACTAATTTCTTTACGAATTAATAGACATTCTTTAATAGATATTTAGGTATTTTTTACGAATGCTGTTTGCTAGCAACGCTACGCTGCCTGCATCCAAGAGGCAACGTCGCACATGTGGCGGCCCAAGGCCAAGCCAAAGGTATATTATGACGTCGACACAAGTGTCATCGTCATCAAAGACGCCGCCTGCCCTTTTCAGCTTGCAGCCATCGACTTGGTGATCGATGTTTGCTGCACGTGCAAATTAAATGAGTATTATTAACTATTTTTTTATTTAATGTAAGTTGTATTTAAAAAATGGATGCAGGTTGAAAGAATTACAAATATTACAATAAAATATTTATAATAATTAAATATAAATTAACAGTAATTGAATAAAGATATTAAAGTATAATGGTTCAATAAAAATATTAAAATACAAATTTAAAAATTAGACTTACCTAGGTACTTGTCCGCGGATGGCGGTGTATATCGCGCACATTGCGTTCAAAATAATCACCTCCACTATGCATAGGTGACACCTAAAACTTAACTGTTCACTGACACGAGATAATACTTGATGATTCATTTTGATTTGATCAAATGCCCAAATTATATTTTCTTTCAACATGTCGCGGGTTGCGAATGCGCGAACAGTATACACTAATGTCTTTACATGCCCCCACAAATAAAAATCCATTGGTATGATATCTGGCGATCTGAGAGGCCATGCACAAGGCCTGTCACGACCTATCCAGCGACCAGGGTATTCTCTGTTTAAATAATCCTTAACTTGGCATATTAGAGATGCAAGTGGTATGTACTTTAACAACTCTGGCAGCGTGTCGGTGAGAAAACTATGGTAGCTTTCACCGTTTAATCTTTCTATGAAGACCGGGCCCAGTAACGTTGTATTAATGACGCCTGCCCACACATTGACACTAAACCGGTGTTGGAAGCTATGCGGTCTTGGTTCATGTGGATTTTCATAGCACCACAAGTGTTCATTGTGCGAATTAAATAGTCCTATTCTGCCAAATGTTGCTTCATCAGTCCATAAAATGTTAGCTCTTTCAGCAGCTAGTAACCAGTTACAAAATGTAACTCGCACTAGTCTGTCAGCTCCGCTGAGTTCATGAACACGATGCAGGTGGAATGGGTAATTCCCTTCATTGTGTATGACACTCCATGCGTAGTACTGTGACACATTGAACTGTCTCATAAGTGCTCGCTGCTGGATTTTGTTCAAAACACTGCAGTATGTCTTCCTGCTCACGTACTGTGCGCCGCGGTGGACGACCACAATCGATTGATACAGGCTAGAATTGTCCGTAATCTCGCAATTGCTGTGTAGTACCTAGCATCGTAGCGTAGCTCGGAGCACGTGAGTTGGGAAATCGCCTTAAATATTCACGGCAGGATTCACTAACGTTATCATTCCAAATTGCTAAAATTTGCACCATTTCGGTATACTCAATATTTGAGTAACGGTAAGCTCGATGGCTTACCGATACTAACGTACAACGTTACGTTCGCGAGGAGAAACGTCGCAGCCGCACCAAAGGCGACTGACGACACAGGTAATTAGGTCAAGTTCAAATGAGCAAGCGCTGCCTCCTACACCCCTCCACCCCTACCCCGCCACGCGCTTTCTTTTGCTAACTAGGGCTATTACCGTTTTGAAGGTCCAATTAAAATATTTTTATTTTTGTATGAAAATAAAAATTGAAGGAATATATATTTTTTTCTTACAGATGTTGTTGTTATGATGTAAATAATATATTCCCAAAAGGTCTTCAGTGAATTAAAAATCAAACTGTATATATATCTTCTGAGGTTACTAGGTAGTAAACTCTTAAGCTCGCTTTTCACTACGGGAAATAATATATATTATATCCTGCGATTTCCTTTCACAGTGTGAGATATATCTTTTAACCAATGTACGTTCGTCATTAAATTACCCCCTGTACCCCGCACACCGTTCTGTGGCGGTGCAGAACGGTATGTGGGGTACAGGGGGCGAAATATAATATGAAAATATCGCTCGGTCGATCGAAATAATATTTATAGTTTGAGATGTAATATATATATATATATATATATATATATATATATATATATATTATAGCTCAGTGTAAACAGTTCCATTTAAAAGTATGGTGAGCGATATTAATTTATATCTCGAAATGTATTATATTATATTATATCCCATAGTGAAAAGCGAGCTTTAACTCAAAGTTTTAATAATATTTCATTTGTGCATGTTTCGACAGGTGAAAAGTGGCATCAGCGAAGAAAACTATTGACCAAGGCCTTTCATTTTGATTTCCTTAAAACATACGTTCCAATATTTAACAAGCAAACTGAACATTTGCTATCCAAAATACAATGTGAAGTTGGTAATGATCAAACAGAAATTCTGCCATTGATATCAAAAACTACACTGAAAATTATGTGTCGTAAGTATTTTGAACTTGACGTATACGCTAAACAAATCATTTTATTTGTCAAAAAATAGGCTCCACATCGCATTTGCATGCCTTAAGCGCAGATCGCGTGGGTATGTTCCACTAGCGCCTAAAAATTAAGATTCCAACATTTTGTCGCATGAAATCGTATCTAGCAATCATATAATACATATAAAAATGATATAAAAAGCACATTATTAGAAAGATAAATGGTTGTTGAACTTATTAATATTTTTAATGTTCAAATATCTGCAAACTATAATAGTAATAAAAAAAAACTAAAACTAAAAACTTAATTATCATAGACTCATACTAATTTTTTAAATCGATTAATTGCTATTTTTACATAAAACAGGGGTTTTAGTCTCTTATGGTGTGGATTTATCAAGTCCACATGGCGCCGTAAACACGATAATTTTTGAAAATATCAATTGTTTAACTCAATCTATTTTTTAATCTCTTCATCTATCACGAGGGAAGCCATGGAATGTAAATGGCAGTTTAATTTTGTTTTGTTTACTTATAATTGTTTTTTTTTTGCAATTCATTTTTTTTTAATATTTGCACGATCATATGAGCATTATGAGTCGTGCATTTTTGGAATTTTCAAGCCTTTTTTTAAATTGAAATTTGACACAATATTATCAGAAACTAAGAAGTATAGTAATAATTATAAGGTTTTTACTGAAAACTTGTGTGTAATTAAGCTACTTTAAAAAATTACGTAATTTTTTTAATACACTTAAGGCATGCACAATTGGATTTACCAATATTTTAATAATTTAAGTCACGTTATAATTTTTATAAGCAATTTTACAATTTTTCAAAATAAAATGTCGCGCTATAAAAATTATTATTATATCATCATTCATCATTCCAGCTCGCCACAAGTCCACTGCTGAAAATATGCATTCCCCAATTGTGTCGCTAAGCACGGTCCTGAGCCGCCTGGATCTTTAGATTTTCTGCATCTAGTAGGGGCCACCTTACACTTAACTTACTGGTACAAAACTATCACTCGAGATTCAATTTTTCACTATCAGTTTTTTTTTATTAAAAAAAACGTTACCCCCACACTAGGATTTTCTCCTGTATCGTTGAGGCAGTTTACAAACATATATTGCACAAGGACAAACATCCAGACCCGGAACAATTATTTGTAGACCGTAGAAATACTTGTTCCGTGCGGGATTCGAACCCGCGGCCCCAAGCGTTGCAACTCATTGCTAAGCCATTACGCTACGGAGCCGTTGCCTCGTATTCGAGCTTTATGGCCGACCCATTGCTACTTCAGCTTACTGATCCCTTTTATTAAGTCGGTTACTCTGGTTCTACTGCGGATATCCTAATGATAGACTTAAAAATATACTTGAGTATAGCCCTCTCCATATCTCGCTGAGTGATTTTAAGATTCCTCATACGGCCAGTAGTGAGGGACTACGTCTGAGATCCACAAGTCACAATGTCTGTACAATATTTTTTTCAAGTTTTGAAGTATACCTGACGAGAAGATGTGTTGTAATCTCCCGAACACTGCCTAGCTGATTTGAATCCGTTGATTGACCTCTCGGTCTAAGAAGGACTTACCTAGTTGGACTATTTGTCGCAGATAAACATACTCGTCAACAACTTCCCCCGTCAGTGCTCCCAACAACTACTGGCATAGGTGTGACATGAACGTTTCACATGACTTTTGTTTTGTCCATGTTAAGACCTATCCGTTGGGATACACTACTTAGGTCATTAAGCATAGTGTTAAGGTCCTCCGGCGATTCTGTCATATAGACTATATCGGAAAATCGAAGTTAAGTGATATACTCGTCATATATTATATTAATACCGTATCCTTTAAAGTCCAATAATTTGAAAATGTCTTCTAATGCAGCGATGAAGAGTTTCGGGGATATAACGTTAGCTAATCTAATAAGTCTAATCTTGGTTAGACTGACGTTCAGGATATCGTCGATATAGTGTCGAATTAGACTAGTTCATGAATCGTTACTCACACTTGCGTGTGGCTTCAATGACGACGTTTACAGCTCCCTGTAGAACCTCTCAAGCTCACTCAAAATTTATGTGTCCCAGAAACGATACTACTACATTCGGTCCAATTGGTTCTTTTTTGCAGACAGATATCTGGTATAGACTTCAGAATCTTGGTTCTACTCAATCGCTTCTTTAATACGATGTCATATTATCTGCTAAAGACCTGTATTACAGACTTAACCGTATTTCTCATCTAACAGCTATGATATTAATAGTGTGATCGGAGAGTTTTTGGGTTCTTCTACGTCGGGTCTTGCAAAGCTTAGCTCCGATCGCATGGACAGTTTTCACGAGCTTGTCATTCATATCGCCCATTTTATTGCAGTCGTCTAGATACTGAAAACGATTTTTTAACTCAAGCTAATTTTATTCGGTGATTAGAGTATATGGGGGACGGACCGCTGAATGCATATGACGTGACTTCTCCAACTTAACCTTTAGGTTTAGTATGCCTCTCACCATTCAGTGATCGCTAACAGGTTTCTTTTTCGCGATCACTAGCGTTAAATGTTGCCAGATGAGTCGTCTTAAGTGGCAACTGAACCTACACCTGAGATTCTTAACACACCCCGCCCCGCCATTACATTCGCCACCATAGCCATTAGCCAGGTATAGCGAGGCTGCCGGGGATTGGGGGCAGTTTCTTTGTGTTGTTGCTTATGGGGGAATGTTTGCCATAGTCACCACTCTTGGCAAGCGGTTTGGCAACCTCAGTTTTTTATTGCGCTTTTGATGTTATCAGAAAGATGCTGTTGCCCATCGCCTACCTCAGTTTCCTTCTGTCGCTTCTAATGACACTGTCGATTCTAACGACCCAAAATAATGGATAGTGAATATTCTTACACCGTCACTACAGGGTAAATTTATAATTTCAAATATTGTGATTTCTTATATCTACGCGAAGACTACACATTAAATGAAACAAATTTTTACGGATTTTATCGCGTTTAATTTAATTTTTTAATAAGCGCGATAAAATTCGTAAAATTTTTTTTCATTTCATTTGAAATATTATTTAAAATATTATTGTATTTGGTATGTTTACTATGTATTCAGTAGTTATGTATGTACATTGTATATGTACATGTGCATTCAATATCATGACTAAAATAACAATGCTGTAATATACAGCACAATATTTGTATTTCCGAAAATGTACATTTTGGCGGATATGTATTTAAACTAAGAATCCCAAATGGCAGTGATAACATACTGGATATGCAATATTCCTGTAACGAAATTAACGAATATCATTAATCAGGTCTAGGTTAACAGGTGTAGGATTGTAGTGTTTTTATAAGGGTGCAAATTTCTTAAGTCATATTCTTTTAATTAACATAAGTTCGTTTAAAATTTTAGAAACATCAATGGGCACTTCAATGGATGAAGCCAAACTATCTATAGCAAATAAATATTTTGAAGCATTAAATATGCTAGGTAGTATTATAGCATACAGATACGCAAGAATTTGGTTACATTTAGACCTTATATTTAAATTTACTAAAACCTTTATGATACAAAATAAATCTATTAGAATCTTACATGAATTTACAAAACAAATTATACAAGAAAGAAAAATCTATTTAAAAAATAAAATAACTAATCAATTCAATACTGAAAATGAAGTTTATGGATTAAAAGGTCGCCAAGAATTTCTAGACATATTAATTCAAAATGAAAAGGAAGGAAAAATAGACTTTGAGGGAATAAGAGAAGAAGTGGACACATTTATGTTTGAAGTAAGTGAAGTATTTCTTGAAGTGACTAATGAATTGTATCAAATAAAGCAATAGTTATGCTGCACAAAATTTTATTATTTATAATCAAGTATAATTATTTGGATATATTTGTTGTGAAATTTAAATTAAAAAAAAACAACTTCAATAGTTTTAAAGGAATAATAAACTGACCACCTTAAATCCAGTTCAATTATACAAACTGTAGATTTTTATAACAAATTAAGCGCTTGTAATAACTAGCTTAAAGTACAGGCACCATCACTATTATGACTTATGTAGAAAATGTGTTCATTTTTATCAAAAATATTTATTTGAGCACGTAAATAATAATTGATGTTTTATCTATTTCAAGGGTCACGACACAACAGCAATGGCGCTTAGTTTTATGATAATGAGAATTGCTAACGAACCGGAAATACAGGCAAGTGTTAAAAAATCTCAATTTACATTTGATTGATATTTTATTTAATTATGTATTATATTTTTTGTTCCATGTTGGTCTGGGAATAATAACAAAAAGTAATGATTCAACCTCTTCACTTTTTTATTGGATAAGAGTAAAAATCGAGCACACAGTCCACATGATAGTAAGTGGTTGCTGTGGCCCATAGATATTTATATCTATCCTCGATTACGAATTAAAATGCAGGTCACTCGTGAAAACTATTATAGAATGCGTCTTTTCCAGTAAAAAGGGCCTCTGGTCTCAACACTCACCACGCGAAACACAGCAGCGTTAAGCTGCTGTTTTACACTGGTATTCTGTGAGAGCGTGTTCCTTTCCAGGTCGAGCCGACCCATTCGTGCTACAACTAAACCAGTAATATGTCATGTTGTGAAAGGCGTTCAATGGAATGTTTGGTTTGTGATTGTGAAGGTGATTGGACTATAACTTTTTTCAAAATGTTCAATCAAAATTCGAAACCCATATTTTGAGCTTAATAAATTCTGAGTAGCTTGCTGCTTTTTGGACTCTGCCTACAATCTCGGGGATAACATGCGTGATGTTTGTATATTACGTTAAAAATAATAGATTTGACTCGAATTTTTTTCAGAATCAATTGGTCGAAGAAATGATTAATATATTCGGTGAATCTCAACGTGCACCGACAGTGGAAGATCTAAATAATATGAAATACCTTGAATGCTGTATCAAAGAGTCCTTGCGACTTTATCCTAGTGTTCCATTTATGTCAAGGTTTACTACTGAGGATGTTACCTTAAGTAAGTTGCTACCTTAAAGTATAAAAGTTATTAGTTGATAATTACACAAAAACGTTAAATGTAATGTAATCTTACCAACACATTAAATATTTGTAATAACGAAACGAATATGCATAATATAGGTTTATTAATCTAAAAATTTAAGGCTTCAGGCTGACGCATTGACTGCGAATGGATCAGTAAAATAACATCAACTTTTGACTTCTGACAGGTTGATTATGACGTTGTAAGTTGAATATTATATGTCGAATCAGACGGTCTAGGAAGCATAAAAGTTACTGGTGTTGCTATCGAGAAAGAGTCCGCTAAACGTGATGATTACGACTGATTTCATGAACTGTAGTAGTCGCCCGAGTCCGTACAACGAAAGAAAAATATTTATTTATCTATACATCTATAAATATAAATATAATTGAAGTGTCTATTTGTATAACAAAACAACAGCTTTTTACTTAATACATGTAAAAGTGTACATTTTACATTTTATAAATTGTATTTTTGTTACAAGTACCATTGTAACAAAATACAATTTTTAAAATGTTTGTCTGTCTGTCTGTTTGTTCCGGCTAATCTCCGAAATGGCTGGACCGATTTACGGGAGTTTCACTGGCATATAGCTGATGTTATAAGGAATAAGTTAGGCTATTTTTATTTTAGAAAAAGAAATAGGATTCCGTAAAAAAATTTAAAACCCTAAATTGAACGCGGGCAAAGTCGTGCAGAACAGCTGGTCATATAACAAACAAGGATAGATAATTAAAGAAATATAACATATCATAGTTAACCATGGCTACGTCCAGATTAAATATTTAAATTTTTGTTCTGATCTACGCAGTATGAACTTACAGTATCTTGAAGTCTTGTAGTCTTATAGTATGCTTGGGTTGGGATTTAATATTATTAATTATAGGATCCCAACAGATGGTAGCACCCAGCCACCTTATCTATTGAAATTATGATGTTTTTTGATTTCAATAGCCTCGCGAATCATCCTTGGAAGAAATCGGTGGTCTTTAGCGAGGATTTGTGGTATATCAAATCTAATGTAGTGACAGTGGCGATCCTGTACGTGTTCATAGACTTCCCGGAGCGTCGATTCTTTACATCAGCTATGTGTTCTTTAACGCGGGTTTTTATGGATCTTTTAGTAAGTCCTATATAAGAGACACCACATTCAAAATCAAGCTTGTACACTCCTTTTTACCATCAGACAAGGGACATTACACTTGTCTGATGGTAAAAACTGACTTATCTTCTTCGGCGTCTTGAAGTATGTTTTAATGGAAGCATTCTTCAAGATGAAGACAATCTTGTCAGTGACACTTCTGACATGTGACAGTACAGTAGGCACTTGTTCGAAGCTTATTTTCGTGCAAAACTTGCTTGACGTGTTGGAGCTAGGCGATCAGGTGTTTACTGTCACAGATCCCTCGTGCTATATGAAACAAAGATTTACTCACGGTAGCTAATTGTGAAGGATGGTGATGAGAATCACCGTCTAAATATCTATCTGTATGGGTCTTTTTTCTATACACAGTGTGGCTCAAGGTGTTGTCAGGATTTCACAAATTTTTTTTTAAATTTTATAAAAGCAAAAGAATTGTTTGCCTCTAACTCCATTGTGAACTGAATTTTAGAATATATGGAGTTAAGATGGTCTTAAAATGTAGTTACTTTATCTAAAGGTAGAATTGTGAAAGTGTCGTCTACGTTCCGCTTGTAAAATCTTGGATTTACGGGAGAAATAAGCAGGTCTTTCACCTCGAAGTCTTCCATGAATATATCAACGAGAACGGGAGATGCAGGTGAGCCCATCACTACGCCATCTACTTGTTTGTAGAACTCTTCCTTCCAAAATAGGTAGCCCGATGTAAGGCAGTTTCTGAGTAATATTGCATATTCTACGGACATGTTGTTTTCCTCCAGCCTTCTAGTTACAATCGAGTTGCAGTCTTAAACAAGTAAATGTGAACAGAGACTACACATCAAAAGTAACCATAGCTTTATTGTCTCTCAGATGTAGGTCTTTAATCTCGCTGACAAAATGGTAGGATTCCTTTGTGTGTGTATGTCTTCTCAATGGTGACAGCATTTTTTTCTAAGTGTTGAGGCAACTTATAAGTTGGTGAATCGATCTGGCTCACTGTGGATCTGTATTTACAAAAGTAAGATATAGTTATTTCATTCTGTATTCATCAGATTAGATCCAAAGTCCTTAGAGTCCCTGGTTGTATATATAAGACAGAGCACAGTATGTGCAACTTTTAGTTTTTCTTAACATGTTATGCCATCAAGCGCATTAGGGCATGGATGGATTTTATCCTTGTCTTATTTATGTCTCGGACACATGTAAAGAACTTCGCTTCATCGTTTTTGTCATTTGGTTGGAATTCTTTACCTGCGTCAGTTGCATTGCCAATATTTGCGACTTTTTATGGCAATAGTAAATATGCATTTTCTAGGTTAGTGTGTTTACCATCTGACACCTCATCAGTTATTACCTTAAATTATGTAGTATTTGAGCAAACCAAATTCGATCGTAATCGCAATTTAAGTGATGTGTACTTCCTCAGTGGTAGTGCAAAAAATTAAGAAAACCTGTATATCTTAGAAATTTAAAGCAATTGGAAGACATGAGAAATTTGCAAACGCGCTGTGTACTCTTCTTTATCATAAATTTCTCTTAGGACACAAAGAAGGCCTATATCTTACATACTAGAATATCTAAATTATCTTATAAAAGGGCTTTGTGAAGGCTCAGTGCTAACTAGTGTTATTTAGTTTTTTTTTTATAGAACAAGGGTGATAAACGAGCACACAGTCCGCCTGATGGTAAGTGGTTGCTGTGGCCCATAGACATCTACATCTATCGTCGATTACGAATAAAAATGCAGATGCGTTGTCACCCGTGACGACTAAAATGGAATGCCTCGTTTCCAGTAAAATAGGGTCTCCGGTTCTCTACACTCCCCATACGATACACAGCAGCGTTATGCTGCTATTTTACGCTGGTATTCTGTGAGAGCGTGGTCCTTCCCCGGTCGAGCCGACCCATTCGTGCTACAACTACGAGTATACTAGCAATATAGCTGCAGCATGGCTCTACCACGTATGTAGGTAATGTACTTAGCTTTTTTTATATTCAGTTTTATATTTTTAAGTTGTTAGTTAAGTGCTAGAATATATTAATCATATTTACGTTGTGTATACTTTAATTAAATACTTATTCTTTTAATATATGTGTCCAAAAAGCATTGTCAATGTTAATGGGGTTGGCAATTAAAATCTGTGTAAAATGCTGAGCTGGGAATGACGAGTAAACTTATCAAACTAAAGGACATTTTTCTTCAGTGATTTATTATTTATATTATATTATATTTCTTATTTCATTGCATATAATTGTAGATTATATGTATAAATAATTTAATTATTTTAGGTTGTATTTTTGCTAATGTTAAGTCAGGTATTTCAGAGTTTTTATTTATCGTTAAATCTTTAGTATTTACGTCCATTTTTGTGTAATTAATATATTTTTTTTCTTTAAAATAATTGGAACTTAATAAACGCTTAAATTTTATTATTCCAAGGTGGATATACGGTACCAGCTGGTACTTATTGTAACATCCACGTATATGACATTCATCGTCGTAATGACTATTACCCGGAACCCGAGAAATTTATACCAGAAAGATTTTTACCGGAAACCACAAAAACACGCCATCCGTATGCATATATTCCATTCAGCGCTGGACCCAGAAACTGTATTGGTTAGTATATTAATCAATCTCTATTTTCTCGTTTTTCTTTATTGCATGCATTAAGCGCAAAACGCTTACGTATGTTCTACTAGCGCCTAAAAATCAAGATTCCAACGTTTTGTCGCATGAAATCGTATATACCAATCATATTGAACACATAAATGATATAAAAAGCACATTTTTTTATAGATTAGGGTAACAAACGAGCACACATTCCTCCTGATAGTAAGTGGTTGCTGTGGCCCTTAGACATCTACATCTATCCTCGTTTACGAATCAAAATGTAGATGCGTTGTCACCCGTGAGGACTAAGGTGGAATGCCTCTTTTCTATTAATAAGGGTCTCTTGTTCTATACACTCACCATACGAAACACAGCAATGTTAAGATGCTATTTTACGCTGGTATACTGCGAGAGCGTGGTTCTTCCCTGGTCGAGCCGACCCATTCGCGCTACAACTATATTAATAATATAGCAGCAGCATGGCTGTACCACATTGTCAGACAGAAAAATGATTGTTGAACTTAGTAATTTTTTTTAAATCGATTCATTGCTATTTTTACATAATAAAAGTGGTTTTAGTGGCTTATGGTGTAGATTTATCAAGTTCGTATGGAGGGATAAATACGATAACTTTAAAAATTTCAATTGTTAAACTAAATCTATTTTTTAATCTCTTCATATATCATGTGGGAATTCATGGAATGTATTGGCAGTTTAATTTTGTTTTACTTAGTTATAATTTATTATTTTCGGCTGAGAAATCCCGAAATTATCAGTGTATACGTCTTAGACTTTGATTTGGATCTCCTCGAAGAGTAGAATTAGTTGTTCCGTGTTTGGCTTCGTTCTGTTAGTTATGATGAGACCCTACCTCCGGACTTGATAGAGTGACCTGAAGTGTACTTCTCTGAATGCTACTGGAGCTCCTCGAAGAGTAGAAGTAAATGTGCCGTGTTCGGCCTCGTTTTTTTAGTTACGATGAGATCTTACCCCAGACTTGATAGAGTGACCTGGAAGTGTACTTCGGTTTTTTACCACTTGTGTTCAGTTATGCGAATGTAGTGCCTATGTCTTTGACACGTTGTGCTAACGTAGAGCTATTGCCAAGCGCGTCGACTGTGCCTGCATCCCCCATGCCGTTAATGAAGACTGATATTTAAAGTTAAATGGAGCCCGAGGACGGACTCCTGTCTGGAGAGGCCGTGTAGGGAATGAGGGTAAAAAAAATAAAAGAAAATATGAACAAATGAAGGTAGTATGGTAATCTCCCACTTGTTTTAGCAGTATAACGTATCGCACAGGCGACAAATAAAGAGGCAACAGTCTGTAATTCTACGAGTCTCTCTATCGTTACTATGCCCGTTGGGGTATTCTAATAGTGTAGGCAAGGAAGGTCGTGTTGCTGAGAGGCTGCCCTGTGTTACATTGAGATGGGTAGTGATGCTGTTGGTTTGGATATTTTGGTGTTATCATGTGATTGGGGTCCTGATAGTAAGCAGGGTTTGTTACCGAGTCGTGTTCTTTTATTTAAATACTTTTGAGAATAATTTCTAACATTAGAAGTGGAATAGTTTCTTACATCAGAATTGGGATTAAAGTCATTTCCTGTAGCTTTACATTGAAATTTCTTACATCAGCAGTGGGATAATTTCTTACAATACTATAAATTAATTTAGTAAAAAAGTCCCACTGGGTTTCTTGCTGGTTTTTCCCAGGACAAAGGTGTTTTTGGAACCAGCAGTGGTGAAAGTAAAAAATTACTTTTAATTAGAATTATATGTAATCTATATTGAATGAAAATGATTCTATTCTATTCTATTCGATTTCGGTTATCCTCTATTGACCTTCTTTTATAGAATAATGGTGACATACGAGCACACAGTCCTTCTGATGGAAAGTGGCTACTGTGGCATCTATATTTATCCGCGATTAAGAACAAAAATACAAATGCGTTGTAACCTCTGAGAACTATGAGGGAATGCCCTGTTTTTAGTAAAAAGGGTTCATAACATAGCGTGGTTCTACCACGTACAGTAATGACACCCACAGTATAATATTATGACCAATTGATTGACTTTGATATTATGGGAATGGGGATTGTCGCGTTAATTCCTTGGTAGTAAGTAAGTGCAACGGCTCATCATGTGGTTCCTCCAGGTACGAATCCTCGGTCGGGCCAAAATCAGTGATTGGGTTTTTCTGTCTCAGTAGCAGCATAGAGTTAATAAGTTGCAGCCAGCTAGTGCACCTGTGCTTACGCACACACCAGTACACTATGTGCCTGTCCGGCGCAGAATATTAGTCACCGTTAAAACTTTCCGCCGTGGTACCAAAAATCGGTCTTGAGTACATCATTATTTTGGGGTAGCGGATTCTTATAGACCACTACGACACGGCAAATTTACAAGATGGAAGCGTAGTTTGTTAAGAAATTTGCAGAATTTTTGATTTAATCGCTTTCCTTTACAGCTATAAATTAGCTAATCATGTTAGACAACAATGAAAAGTTATTCTATTGTCTGAGTACTAATGCCTTTTACGAGCTTATAAATGTTAAAGATTATAAATATTTTAAATTTTAATGTGTACTACATGTAAACTACAACTCTACTACAATCGAATATTTTATAACGCAGGTCAAAAATTTGCAATGTTGGAGATGAAAACAGTGATGTCAGGACTAATCAGAAGATTTCGGTTGGAACCTGTAACTAAGCCTGAAGATTTAATCTTTAAGGCTGATATTGTTTTACGTACTTCTAATCCTCTTTATGTACGCTTCCGTACCAGACAATATTAAAATATTGGAAAAAAATCTTATGTTTTTATTTTTATAAAACTGTAGTACTAAAGATGCGTTTTCACATCTATGGTCTAAGATGCAATGCAATGCGTCAGTGCGGCTTGGCGACAGAAATAATTATGACAGAGGAGTTCTACCACCCTTTTCACAAGCGTCTACAAAGTGTGGCAACTATGGCAAATATTTCCCTGATGAGCAGTGGCGAAGCTAGGGCTCCAAACTAGGGCTAGCTCAAGATATGGTTTTATTGTTTTTAGCGGTTTTATAAAAATATACCAATCTTGATCTGTGTGGAGACAGATCAAGATTGGTACATTTTTTTTGTACACCCTGACAGAATCTTCACTTTAATTATGTTTCACTGGAGATTAATAACCCCAATGCATAGATTTGATGAAATCCGATGCAATGTCATGATTGGAACTACAATCTTCAGCGATATATTGTGCGCCAGAAGTCGTTACAAAGTTAACCGTTACGTAGGTTGCCACATCCCCCTAATTTATGTATGATAAAAAATTTGTATTCAGTGCATTAGTTTGATAGTTTCTAGGTGTTAAGATTGCCTTTTTCGTAAACGTTGTATTAATAAGAACTTTTGCCGTTTCCTTCCCTTCCTTTGGACATCAAGCAATTTTATAAAAACAGCGCTATTTCAGCTCCAAGGTCTTTTAGTCAGTCCTTAGGGTACGTGTGTTAAATGTTGCTAGGTCGATTCGTTTAAAGTGGCAACTGAACCTCCTGCTTTCCCTCTGATGGTAGGCTGATATGTAACCTTGGAAAAGTGATATACCCATAGTTATGATAGCCCCATATATTCTTCTTCCTGCAAGACCTCCGGTCGCTGCATCACGACGATTGCGGAAATAGCCGTCTTGCTTTATTTTAGATATGATTCCCTACAAAAAATACTCATTATAAATTTACAAATATGAAAAAACTTTATTTTTATCTTCCAACATAACTATATTCTCAAAAAGTCTCTAAAATATGAAAAAATCGTAGTTGAAATAACAAGTGCCTTATTTTTTTTTGACAAAGAAGTCCATATAAATTATTATTTTATTACACGTTGTTTTAATCTAAAAGGGATTTTAAAATGGAACGAAAATTTTCTTTAAAAATTTTCCTTCATATTGCCATTCACATAAGAGTAATACGCTATTGTGTTGTAGGAAGTAAAATATGTACATGCTATTCTACGAGCGGGAGACGAAGAGAAAATTATGCAGTATGATACATGTGTAATACAGTAAACTTCTTACAGGCCTATATATTGTTGTTACAAGTTACAAAACCTATTCATATATTAAATAAAAAGGGGCTAGTTCAAACGTTACCTAAATTAGTTATAAAACGAGAAAAGAAATGAATGTACCAGTTCACGGTATTTTAGACGTATTGCGACTTTAATAAAAAGAAAATTTTAAATTTTTAGCAGATTAACCCATGTGTACATCTCTTTCTTGTTTATTATTTAGAGAGTGAAAATGTTGTTCTTCTAGCCGATATCTTTACGGCAACATATTATGAATATTACTTCGAGATATTATCTACTCAAAACATATTATAGTGACACAAAGGTGTAGACCAACACAATGGCACCCAATTTATACACCACCCTACTGACCCACGCTTTTAGCGATAACACCAGAGTTTGATTTCAGTATGGCGTAATAAGACAATCGTAAGACATTCAAACCCGAAAGCCAGACCCTCTTTCAGATATTTAATAGAATCAGGAGTTAAATTGAGGATATCCATTATGTTAAGGATGTTAAAAATTAATTGGCTAAGATGTGCGTGAAAAATCTTACTTAGTTTAAAGAGCACCTCTCGCCCTTCTTTAATTGCTTGCACTATCTCCGTCACCACTAATCTCAATGCATAGCGGTCAGATACCGCAGATTCTATTTCATCCACGAAGAAAATACAAAGAGGAGGTGTTGTAATTAGATTTCACTATGTAACAACGCGTGACAATTTGCGGGTGGAGGAGGTGTTAAGCCCCGGCTTTTTAACTATTTTCCATCTACCGATAAATAGTAAAACTACACGCATCGTTCCATATCCATGTTGCAATGTAGTTTAACTACCTTGACAATAGATTGCGACATGTACATAAAATGATTATATAAACTATAAAAATGATATTTTGGCGATTAAAAATTCTTTAGGACTGAATGCATAACAAATTTCAGCACATTCGTATGATTATTTTACCAATACTGATCTCTACGTACCTTTTACGTACCCGTATATTTTAGATCCCATGACAAAAATGTCGCTATCTAGTGTCGAATACATTTATAATATTTGAAAGCCGCCGTAGAGATTTTTCTAGAACTATTTTGGACACACAAGCGCACAGGAAAACGCTGACAGTATACTAACTAAAGCCACGCCCACGGTGATGACGTCAGGACCTAGTTAGAATCACAGTGCACAGTTGCTTAGGCCGTCTCCTCTTTGTATTTGCTCCGTGATTTCACCTGACGATGACTCGTTTAGAGGCGAAACATGTGTCGTATCGACAATGGTGTGACATTGCTAGTGTAGTGTTAATAGAAGTAGTTGGTGTTCTAACTCAACCACTATTTTTACATCCTTAGGAGTGATTTTCTTTCTTATAATTTATATGGGATTAGTCCAGAAGTATTAATGATTAAGTAAAAAAAAACCATAAAATCGGTTTATAAACAAAAACGAACGATTAAACATCAAAAATGTAAACAAAAGAATTTCGAATCCTGTTCCTTATTTGAGGTCAAAAAGGCGTCTAAATTAAAATATATTTTATAAACTATTTTGATAATTATATAATATGTATAATTTAAGGTTGTCTTGCGTGTTTGTTTAGTTCAAAACTGGAATGCGATCTGAATTATCTGCTATGATCGGATTAATTTGTATAAAAAATACAAAGATTGAATATAACTGCCGTAGTAATACATTTTAATTTACATCAATGTTATCCATTAAATATTACTTTTATTAATTAAAACAAAAATTATTAATTTTTATTAGATCTCGACGTAAGTAGATTTTGTAGTATTTTCTAAATAATTTTCTTTGTCTCTTAAAATTGATTATATTATGAAGCATATAGTTAGAAGTTATTTTCTCTAACAGCAATACACATTGTACAGGACTGGTCAGTCCTGTTTCCTTGAGATGTAAAGTCCAAGCTTACAAAGCTTACTCAGAGCAAAGCTCACGTTTGTTGTGACAGACCGTAGCCAGCTTAGGCTTTTGACAAATAACGTTACAATACACTATACCTATTGTAGGCAAGGTGTAATATAAATAAATTCCCACTAAAGCAGAGATATATTATACAAATATCAATTATTAGACTGGTGATATTTTATTTTTATTTATTCATCCTTTACTGTAACACACCTTCAACTAGGTTAAAAAGGTTAAAAAGGTAAGTTAAAAAGGGTGAACTTAATGCCATATGGCATTCTCAACCAGTCAACCCTATGAAGATGGATTAAATAAAGGTGTTGGAAGGCGCAAATTAAGGACTGCGCGGTCCAAATTCTACCTCTAGGTCAATCGATGGATCTAGCTCGACTAGGGGGCACTCAGGAGTTTGCAATATTCCTTCTCCATAAGTAATTCTCAAAACTTAAAATTAAGAGTTGTAGTGAGTGTATTTTTGGGTTCAGTATTTAACATAGCATTTTTTCTTTTTAAGAATTTTACCAGTTTTAAATTAACGAAAAAAGAAACTATACAGCTTTGATTACTTTTGATTACTGATTACTTCTAGGTTCAATTTATCGGACTTTTTGGCTATCTTGTAGGTGTTATTGAAATTGAATATGGAAAATGTCACGAAGACCTTATGTAAAATACGAAGACCAGCGACGGAGAGTAACGCCTGCAAAGCGATTATAGCAAATGCTACCATATGATAACTAAGTTCTAAACCCGCCAGTAACTTTTTAAAGATTAATATAGATTATAACAGCCGATGAAGATAACTTATTTGTATTTATTTTTGCCTGTATAAATAATACATAACAAGTATGTCTAAAGAATAAAAATTTGTTACATTTTTTTAGCATAACGGGTTTAGATTACGTATAAGTTGCAGCTATCACTCGCAATGTTAAAAACTCTTATCTTAAGAATTAAATCTCACATCAGTATAATGTTAATGTAAATTCTATTAACGTTATTCTCAAAAGAACTAGTTCAGTATCTTCCTTGTTGTAATTATAATTGAACAATTGAACAATAGATGCTTCTTGCCATATTAATGTTTGAGATCAAGTAAAATAACTTCCGAAAAGTACTGTGTATATTGCCAGAACACAACTGATTAGCTAAGTCTAATGTCCCTCTAATTGCTTTTTATAATAATGTCCTCCAGACCGAATTTCGGTCACGGCGGCCAGCCTCAACAGAGATTAGCCATCGGCGCAGGACAGAATTATAGTGCCCAAGTGTAAGCAAGCACAGGTGCACTCTCTATTCCCTTACTCTCAAAGTCCGATGGGACGGTAAACCGACACGACCGGAGAGAGATCAGGCGCAGGACCAACGGCTTTACGTGCTTTCCGACGAGGCATGGGGGTGAGACACCGCCAACTTCCTGACTCCGGGCACCTACTGAGAATTTCTTGATGGAAAAATTCAATAATTGCTTTTTGATTGGCCCAATCCGGGATTCGAGCCCGGGACCTCGTGATCAGCAGTCGCACTACTAACACCACTATACCAACGAGGCAGTCAATTGCATATTATAACCTTATAAAGACAACACGTCAATACAATAGCTCGCGACGTCCATCACTTGTAATTTATAATAGAACAACACAACCGAAGCGAAGTCATGTAATTGCTTGATTAAAAATGCTATGACTGGAAACAGACGCGTAAATTATGAAATACACTATGAAACGATTACAATTCATAGAGATAAAGAAGTTTTATAATAACAATTTAATCTCATCATCATCATTACAGCCCTTCACAAGTCCACT